ATGTAATAAATATCTTAGTTACTTTTATATCACTTTATTTTTAATTTCCTAATACTTGTCTTATACCCTTTTCATAAGTTTATCAATTTGAAGCCTTTATATTTCTGCTTCTTTTTTTACTTGAGTCTGAATTGACTTAGATAACTTAATTATTTCACAATATTCATATATTTTAAAACTAATCTTTTCAAATATCTATTGAAATTTGTTTCAAATTTTAACTATTAATAGCTTATTAAAATTGAAAATGTATTGATGAAGAATATATTAATATGGAAGTAAATAATAATAAAAAAATATATAATTATATTAGAATATTTGTAGAATTGGTAATAGCTTTCTCTTCATTATTTTTGTATTCATAGCTATAATTTCACTTATAATTAACTTTTGAATGAGATAAGAAAACTTATATATCTATTCAAGAATCTCATTATCAAGATCAATTACAGAAATATATTTTTGATAAAAGTTAAGAGCTATTTTTTCTGAATCAATTTATTTCTTGTTATCAAGTTCAATAATTTTAAAATATACTTCTAAATTATATAATAAAAATATAATTTATTATATAATCTAGTAAACTTAGAAAATTTAAAAAGAATTAATTACATAATAAATTGCATCTTACCTATTAATCCATATTTCTTTACTGTTATTCTCTTGAGTTTACTGTAATAAGATTCTAGTAGATTTATTGAGATAATCTATAATAAAAGAGGGAAGTGCTGATATATTCAAAATATCTATTTTTCTGTATTATTAGTATAATTATGATTAATATAATGAATAATTTCAGAAATAGGACAGATAGTAATAATATTCTTAATAATCTCTTTATAACTGATACTTATTTTTTATACATAACTAAGATTATTTGATTATATTATTAGATAATAAATTTTATGTAACTATATTTACATAATATATATGATACAAAAAATAATATTATAATTTTATTTACTATATATAATATCAGAAAAGATATTTATAATACTATTTATTTCTATATTACTTTAATTATATAATATATAATAAGAAAGTTAACAAGATTCAAATTAATAAATCATTTTTAATATCTTAATTACTATATCACTATCTTTCTTACTAACAAGAAAATATATACTCATATTTTAGTAATTGAAACTATCTCAAATATATAAGATAAAAAAATGCCATAAGTATTTATTAATATTATACATCAAGTTTATAAGAGTTAGCTATTCATGATATTATAGTTTATTTAATTAATTATGATTTGTAAAGTAGAGATCTTGCAATATTTTTTATAATTGCTAGATAATCTTAAAATGCTTAACTTAATAATTTTTGTTGATTAGAAATTTCAAAGTATACTGGATATCAGATTCAAGATCTTTTTCATTTATAAGATATTTAATTAGTAATTTGTGTATATTTTATTAAATATTTGTAACTTCAATTTGATATAATTTTTGAATAATAATATCAAGTCTCTTATTTATTATGAGTTTCTTAATTATGATAATGATAGCTAATAATTTATATAATTTGCTTATTTTATTAATCACCAGCTATTTGATTACTTCTGATTATTTTATTTGATTGATATTTTTGATTTGATATATATAATCTGAAGTATTTTTATAATATTCAATTCATACTATTTATATTGTGATAATATGCATTACTTTAATTTTGATATCATACTGATTAAGATTATATTTACTTGTCTTTCTTTTCTTTTTAACTAGAATCTCTGCTTTTTACATACTGAATTCATAATATCTTAAGAGCTGACAGATATAAATAATCTAAAAATTATTATTAAGAGATTACCAGTTATTATATTACATTCAGGTATTAGATATAAGTAGTTATAATTCTTTATAAAACTTTTTTTCAGATACTTTAAAGAAGTTATTAACATTAAAAAGACTTATATATTTTTAATTAATAATTTCTTGTTGTTTGAGATATGAAGATATATAGATATGTATATAGGTATAGATATATATATAGATATATATATATGTATATATGTATATATATGTGCATGTGTATGTGTATGTGTATATATGTAATATATATATAATATATATATAAATATGTATATATATATATATATGCATATACATATGTATGTATATATATGTGTGTGTATGCGTATAAGTTGTTTTTATAATATTTCTTGCAGCTTAAATACAACTCAAAATATAAGATTTGATTTTTTTTGTGTTTCTTGCATGAATATATTTAATTTTTTTTGCATTTCTTAGATGAATATATTTTTAAGCTTGTGTTATTAACATAATTATTCCTTAATTAACATCTCATCTTCTATCTTATCCTTATTGTTTTTATTTTCCTGCCAATCAATCACTCTCAAATATTCAAAAAAACAAAAACCAAAAAAAATTATCTTGCAATAATGATGAAATATATTGTGTACAGTTGTACAACTTATATTATTAGGTAAATTCAGATTGACATGATCTGGATTTATATAATTCGAATTGACATATAATCCACTACCCTGCTTTAGCGTTCCTCCTAATATGCATATCTATGTAATTTTTTTCAATTCAGATCTACAGTATGTAAATGAACACAAATTTTATTTTAGTATTATAACATGATCTTTTTTGTACTTATAACTCAAAGTTCAGAATTACTCTAGTTAATTCAAATGAAAATTTAGAGTAATAAAATTTTTTTCTAAAATTATTTTTCTGTTAATCATTTTAGCATACAAATTTGTACGCTAAATTTGACGGTTTAAGGGATATGATTTTTATATTGATGCTAATTCATATCAGTTATCTCTCTTATAATCAACTAACAAATATTCAACAATGATTCGATATGTGATACAAAGTGTCTAAACGGATTTATGAACTCTTATTGAATGGGGCTCGAGGATATTAATGTGGAATATAGTGATGCCTCAGAATCTGCTAGAAATCGTAATGGAGGACATTCTGGTACAGAGTGTCATCCAGATATAATATCAATTATAAACAAATTTAAATAATAATCGATTTTTAATAATCAATTAAAATCACATTTTGATATAAAGTAACTTCAGTTTATTTAACTAAAAAATTTTTATTTACTCACATTATCAATCCAGAAGTGGGAATTCTTGATTGGTGAAATCAATTACGGCCCATACTAATTCGATATGAAACATTACTTAGGAGATGAATTATGTGTGGGTAAATTCTCGCATCAGAACATTTCTACAATACAAAGATGGATTTATATATTTCAGAACCCTTTCATCGATATCCGATGGACCTCGTTTCTGGGATTTGCCAAATAAACCGGGAGACTGTACGATCACGGGGTTCTTCGAGTATCTTTCCGCAATTTTAAAGTTATAATGGCGATCACCAATTCAATCTCCTGTCGAATTGCCTGACCGATCTCTTCTTTTGGAGTCGCTAGTTCCTACCCTAGAATGTGTATTTTATTAAAGGATCATGAACTTTATTTGAGTTATAAGTTTTTAGTAAAAAGAAAGTATTGTTCTGGATTTTTAAATTTTCATTTTCAATTTTGTAAAACTGAAAATAAAGATATCGTCAGTCTAAAAATTTACCTACTTTGAATATCTTGCAAAGGATGTCTTAAACCAATCTGATTGTTCGGATCATTATACTACAATTTCCATTTAAGACACGAAAAAGTTGTTTATAAAAATTCGAACTAAATTCATAAAAAGACGAAGCAAACTTATTTTTCAAAATACAGTCAAAGCCACTTTACAGCGGCATGGTATATACCGGATTCGGCTTATATCGAAGTCAAATGATGTAGAAATTTAAAATGCCCGATATATCGATTTTTACTAATAAAACTACTATATACCGGTCCCGGCGAAAATAAATTTTCCGAATAATATACAGAATCCTATGAATATCGGCCGAGCTGCAACATTAAACTTTCATATATGTAAAATAACCATTGATGCATTATAGTTTATACCGGAGTACAGTGTATATCGGAATCGTGTTATACATGTACCGGCCAAAAAGTGCCAAGCCAATGCGGCCGTTTTAACGAGCTTTTACTGTAGATGACTGCTCTTACATATGTATAAAAGCCAAATTCTCGATAGTAATGGATTATCTTCGCGAAAATATTACATGTAATTCCGAATACGAAAAGTCGACTTGGAAAGAAAATTAAGGCTATTCTAAATTCGTTGATTTATTGAGTTCCACCTTTATAAAAACGTATTATACAGTGCACTTATTATTTAACAGCAATAACTCAGAGAATAACTGTTATAATGGATAAAAACCAGTTGTCTTCAAACTACCATGCTAAGAAGCAGCTTGATGAAGAGAAAATCAGAGAAAGGTGTTGAGTGTTAAAAATAATGAACATTGAATTATAATTTATCCACGTGTTGAATCATATCGAGTATAAATCAATTGAGTCAAGTAAACTTATTTTAACCGCATGTACGCTATGATAGATTCGTAAACAGTTTTGATGCCAAGTTATGATTATAATTGTGGTCTTTATCTTTATGAAAAGAATCTAAGGATAAGTAATTAGCGAACGATAAATCATCTTTCTTTGACGTGTTCCAGTGTAAGTGTACTCTACCTTTATACATTGAATTTTTGTACACTTTATCCGAACCCATTAGAAAGATAATCGCGTAACAGCAGTTTAAATCATTTATGGGTCACAATATGACTACAATTATCGTTATGTTATTTACTCATAAATGCATGCATTGCATGCATGCCAGTGATTAAGTAATACTTTAGAAACGCGTAAAAATTGACATACATGTACATGTAAGACATTTAATTAAGCATATGAAAGATTCATACTATCACTATGTATACCAACTAATAAAAGATATAGCAAGCTTTTCTTTTATTAAAATATTTTGGATTTCAATTTACATTACTAATCATTCTGCATGCTAAAATACGAATTTTTTATTGCACTGCAAAAAATTGAATGGCGCACATTATATTCTAACAAAAATGAAACTTCTAATTGCTTAAACCGGGAGCGGTTGGGGCGCAATCAGGTAATGTAAGGCCAGGTTTCAAAGTACGATCTGGATAAAATAATCCCCAGCTTCCTTCTAATACGGTAAATCTTTGGGTTTTCCATGGAGTATCGAATGTCTCAAAATAATAATATTTGTATTGTCGAGCATTTGCACTACAAATAAATTGCGAGATAAAAGTTTGTAAGTTTGGTATTGATGCGACTGACCCATTGTTCGAAGCTCCTTGAGTTGGCCATCCAACTTCTGCGATTACGGCAGGTTTATTCTGCTTGCTTGCATATATCACGTCATTTTCATCGAAAAATTTAAGAGTCCAATTAGTTCCGTCTTGAGCCGTAACACCGGCAAAATAGGGATGGACATTCGCGAAGACTGCGTCAACGGCGCTAACAAATGCATCACCAACATTTGAACCAAGATCTGAAGTGAATACTGGAAAATTTTTCGGAGCATTTGGTAGTGCACGGATCTTTTGTCGGACGTCCGCGATTCTTTGGAATAAATCATTGGTTGGGATATCTTTGCGGAAAATCACTTGTTTCAATAAAAATAAATTATTTAGTAGATGACGTAAAAAAAAACAAAGTACGGTATGAATTTATTTACCTTCATTTCCCACAGAAACCCCTTCAATATGATCAAAACCATGCTGATTTAAATTTGCGAATAAATCGTCATATTGTCTTTGATATGTGGTCATATTATTATCAACCCAAATGGTCGGGATAACTTTGATATCGAGACCTAAGTATTTAATAGCAAGTATAGTATAATTCGCCATATTACAGTCCATTCCATAAAGCCGAATTCTGTTTTTCAAGATTTGTAATGATTAAGATTATTTAAATTGATCAGAACAATTATTTGGATGAACTTGCCTTGATGTCAATTGTGATAGAATTTTTACATCTTCAATGACATCACCAAGGGTATTGCCGCATTCTGGCCTACAAATTGAACATGATAAATTATTTTACGCATAATAAAATGACCAAATCAGATCATTAATTACCAAGTGGCGTTGACAGGACCATAATTAATTCCATAAAATGATTTTTTGTACTTAGAATTCGCTTGGATGTTTAAATTGACCGATTGGCCATCCCAAGTCTTGAATATGGGATGATTAGAATCGTCCGCTGATGAATTTGAATTTGAATTTGAATTTGATGAATGGCTATTTGATTATCATTTCGATGAATTGCTATTTGACGAACTGTTATTACCAGAAGTAGATTTTGATTTTCTAGTTCCGACAGCGACACCAATTGTAATTACTGCTATAATCGACAAAACAATAACTCCAATTATAATATATGTTCGTCTTTTCATTTTGATATATAGAAAAAAAGATTAATGTTAGATGAAAGAAATTGGTTTTTTGTTCTTCGAGTGAGTCGATTAAATATGTGATTTCAAACCACGTGTTACGTTATTTAATATTAATAGTGTTTTCATAATGCATGAAGGATTGATCAAAACTTATATTGAATCTCCGCATTTAGAAAAAAATGTCTTAAAGATACATGTATGTATGCAGTGTGTGCTGTTATAAGAATTAAGGGGTAACCTGTTTTTCGGCCTATCTGTTTCATACCCTTGTTCTTGTCAAGAAAGTATTTTACGTACATATATGGAACATTTATCTCGAAAGGTTACTTTTATTCATTACCAATTAACGTTAGCATCTCAAAGATTTGCTTTTTTCACTTTGTAATGCAATGTTGGATAATGATGACACATATAACCATTCTGACTGATATATTATGACTTTATGAACCTTTGGGAGTTAGATCACACAATTACCTTCGGAAGCACCACTCAACCGGCGTAGTTTGGCAGAGAAACGGTGTGGTGACTAGTCCTGGACACTTTACTCCCAAGTTATAATTATTACCGTCACGAATGATATAAGAATATAACTTAATTATAACTTAACTCATAACAACCGAGTGTCAATAGAAATTCTAATTTTGATAGAATACGCAAAATAAACATGCAGAATTACATGAAAATAAATCAATCAAATATCTGCTGGGTCGGTAAGTCTCAAAGCCCCCAATGGAAGCTTCAATGTGTAATTTCCAGTGTGAAAGTCATTATCCACAAGTTTTTTTTGTAAATTTTTTTTAGAGCATTCTTAATATACAGTAAATAACTTAGTTTTTCTTCCCAAATCAATTCGTCGTAGTTGGAAGTAATATATTTGCGAATGTCCGTGATATTTTTTCGGATAATTCATTACTATCAAGTATTCATTTTTACAGTGGTCATTATAAATATTCAGAATTTTTGATATAGCGATAGTGCATAGAATAATGAAAAATTGTCAAAATTGCCTGATAATTTAGACACATCTTTATAACCGTGAAACAAGTTTGATTAAAATATTTTACAGAATTATTATTAATTATCATTACACTTTTCTCAATAAAATTTATTGTAAAAAATAAGTCAGATCCAACAAAGATTGAATTCATATTATTTTTAATAATATTAAGTAACCCTATTATTTTATTATTACTAAGAACATATTTATAAATTTTGATATAATTCTGGTATTTTTTTATTAAATAATTAATAAAGATATAAAGTTAGCTATATTTATAATTCTTTTTGTTTTTTATAATTTTAATAAGATATTATATCATTATGTCTTAAGTAACTTTGTTTTTCATATCAAAAAATATATATTTGAAAAATTTCATGAAATTCTATTCATTCTTTATCATATAATTGATATATAAATTCAAAAATTCTGAATATCATATTCTTTTAGAAATAAGTATCATCTAAAAATAATGAATAAATAAGAGTTTTACATCTCATATATAAAGATTACTTATTTTTGAATAAATTCTGATAGATATTCTGGAAATACTATTTTTAAGTTCCAAAAATAATGCTTATTTTCAGAAAATATGTATTTTATAATAATTATTATAATTATTTTATAATATTTATTTAAAATAATTATTACTATATTCTAGTGTAATTTAAATCTATTAATAGATAATTATATTAAAAAAGTCTTTTACATATTGAAAAAATTATAAAGTTTCTATCTCTTTTATTTTATTAGATTATTTATATTTATTTTTGGAAGATATTCAATATAAATAAAATTTTTAAAAGAGTTAATAATAATAATAATTAAATAATTTATTATAATAATCATTTACTTAATAACAAGTATATTTACTATAATCATAAATTTGTAAGTTATTTATATTCTTTTTATTTATCTTATTAAATTAATATTTATTAATTTAATATCAATACTTTTAATATATTTATTATTATATATAATATATTATATTTAATAATTTATTTTTATTAATTTATTTAATATATATAGTTAATACATATTAATTTAATATTTATATCAAATTCTAAACTATTTAATTATCTATAACTAATTTTATTTACTTTTTTCTTTAAATTTTCTTTATTTAATTCAGAAAAAATATTTATTTTATTAAAATTAAACTTATTATATTTATTAATTTTTAATTTAATTTTATTATTAATTATATATTTATTATTATTATTTAATTAATTTATTTTTTTTATAAAATTAATAAAGTTTTTATATTAAAGAAATATTTTTAATATATTTTTAAAAAATAATTAATAATAATTATAAAACTACTATTTTAAAAATATAAATAAAAATATATCTTAAATATTTTTCTAATAAGTTTAATAAATTTAATTATAAATTTAAAATTATATTATATACTTATAATAGATATATAAATATTTAGTAATTAATAATTTTTATCAAAAAATTAAAAAGATAATATAAGTAATATAATTAATATTAACTAATTTTATTAATATTCTTTTTAAATAATATTCTATTATTTTAAGTAATACTTTTTAATTTATTGATTTTATTAAATTAAAGATAAATATTTATTTTAAATATATAAAAAATTATTTTTTTATTATTATTATATTTAGACTTTAATTATTTTTATTTTTTTTATTATTTAATTAATTAAAATATAAAATTATTAATAAATTTAATATAAAAAATATATTATTAATAATAATTATTATTAAATAATAATAATTAATAAATATATTATTTTATTTATATTAATTAGTATATATTAGATAATTTTTATTAAATTAAAATTTAAGCTTTTTCTTATATATTATCTAATAAATATTTTGCAAAAAATAATAAATTTTAATATTTATTTAATTTAAGCTTATTAAAAAAACTTTAAACTTATATAAATTTTAATTTATAAATCTTATTTTAATTATTTTATATATATAATAATTTTTATTATAATAAAAAATAATTTTTTAAATATAAAATATTTAATATAATATCTTAATATTCAATAATTTAATTCAAATATAATTAATATTATTTGATTTCTCTTGATGAGATAAATTGAATAGTATTAAAATCACATGATTATGATTATTAGATATTAAGTTATCATATTCTGAATTTACTGGATTATTTTTTTAAATTTAATATCTGATAATTTTGAAATATGATATCTTGATATCTAATAATTAGATTTAAGTAAATTTAATATTATTTGATTTGTCTTATCAAGAAGAATTAAATGATATTAAATTTACTTGAATCTAATTATTAAATATCAAGTTATATTATCAAATATATTATATTTTAAAATTATATTTATTTAATAATATTATTAATTATAATTACTATACTTAAATATTTAT